TATTCAGTAAGACTACCATTCATTCACTCACTTAATCAAACAATTTCTCATTTACATTTAATTTTTAGTTTTATAATTTAATTGTAAATCACGCAAAACAAGCAATACATGCATTAAGGAAACACAACTAAATTATCTTACCAACTCCAGCGTATTATCATGTATTAAAAACTGTAAAATCAATCAAATAGGATAAAAAGTGAAAAATAACCGGTTCTGGCTCCATTAGTAACCTATAATTAATCATCAAGATTTCCTAATTTGTACAAAATACCACATTATTTATAATTAAATTTCAATTCCATAATAGGGAATAGAGTGAGGGATTCTTACTCGAATCGATGTCCAAACGCTAAACTTTTAGCTGCGCCTACTAGCGGTCCCCGAGTTCTCTGAATTTTCTTTAAACATTAAAACACGCTTCAAGTATTTAAAAATACCCCAAAAATCCAAAATCGGTGTTAGAAATCTTTTCTGGCCAATTTCGGGATTCTGGCACGACGGCGATTTGCCTCAGATTGGCCATTTTCGGCAAGTTTCGGCCGATTTCGAATGGTTTTGTACTCATTCCTGCGAAAAATACGTTAAGGGGTCTCAGTTGGCCCAAAAAATTCGAAAAATAGAAACTTACCGACAACGGGGTTTTCCGGTGCGGCGGCTCTGCCAGCTCACCTTTGCGGTTGGGTGTTTTTCTTCGGTCAACCTGTGGGAAACAAAATGGTCAATATAATGATGGAAAAATTACACGAAACGAGAATCGAGAAGAGCCTCATTGGATGCGATTTTTTTTATTTTTTTCGCGGTTTCCGGCTTATCCGCTGGTCCTTTTACTCCGATTTGGCCATGGGGTGTTCAAAATCGAATTTCGAGTAAATAAAATTTTTTTTACCTCTTTTGGCGGTCGGAGATGGCTCCGGCATGGCGGCGGGCGGCGGTTGGCCCCCTTCCCGGCGACTGGTTCTTCTTCTCCGACGGGGAGGTCTGGCGAATAGAGTTAGGATTTGGTGTGAAGTGAGGTATTTTATATTCGTCTCCTTTTAATCTGATCCATCTATCGCGTTTGATCTGAACCGTCCGATCGCGTTTAAATAGGAAATGAATCAGAACCGTTCATCGCGATTTGATCTAAACCGTACGATCGCGTTTAAAGAGAGAACAAATCCGAATCGTCCACACGTATAGGAACAAATCCAGACCGTACGATCGCAGGCACGTGGATTGCCTGCGTGACCTCCCGCGTGGCACCGTGCCAGCGCGCCTTGCCATGCTGCGCGCTCCGGTTTGTCAGGACTGCTAACTGGGCGGCCTTACGTGACACATTTTTCGTATATTGCATTTTGACTCTTATCTTCCAATTTTTCTTTCAAAAACACCTGCAAAATCTAAATTTTCACTCATTTTTTTCAAAATTGTTTTCAATTTTATCATCTACCTATTTTCTTCATTTTTATATTAAATAAAAATTTAAAAATTATATTTTATATATTAATTTTAAATATATTAAAATTAATTCTGGATATTACATAAACATTTAACTTATTTAATGCAGGTGGGGTAAAACACATGATCTGCTTATTGAGGGAGGCCTTACATATGATGCAATAAAGAGTTCTGTTGCTAGTGCCTACATTGCTTTTAGAGAGGGTGTAGTGGAACTCTTTGAATTTCTGGAGGTAATTCTCTCTTTCTATGGCAATCTTCTGAGCTTTAGCTAGGAGTATGGGTGAAACACTGATAGTGCCCTCAACTAGCCAAGCACTTGACATGAAAATTCTTTCCATTTCTATCTCATTTCTTCATAAACTATGTTATTCTTAATTTTTCTTTTTTTTTAATCAAATTTATGGATGAGTTTGCATATTCAACTATAGAGATTGGATTAGCTTATGGACATTTTTAACTAGATAGACATGAAACAAAAAATTGTTCATTTTTGTGCTCAGTTTATTGACAGTAACTTAATGTAATCTTGAGATTTCTTTTTTCATGTCTTTCTAAATCACTATCCTTTTCTTTCTGGAACCATTGAAGCCACATTCTGCAATATCATCCAAGAAATGTCAGGAAAAAGAAAAGAAATAAACAATACATGCCTATGTTTTTCAAAGGAGTGGACAATATAGAGGCATTAGCTTCTTACTATAAGTACCAGGCATTGTTCTGTATTCCACCTCATCTGATTCATCATGCCATTTGTACTTGAGGATAAGATACTTTATTCCACATATCTTTCCTCAAAACTTGTGTCAACTTCATATTTGTAATTTTTGTTGCATATTTTAACATAGTTGATCCTTCAAAGTTACACTTATTGTAGCAATATAAGGCAAAGGGCTTCCACTATGTATAACATGTAGAGAGTTAACTATCAACCAGCACTATTCATGTGAAGTTCTTGCCATTTACCATGTCTCTTATAATCATGCAGGAAAGAGAGATTCCAGTTCTTATTTTTTCAGCTGGGCTTGCAGACATCATAGAGGAGGTAGCTTATAAACTTACATAATGCATCATTTTTATGCAGTCCTCTCATGCATTGACCAATTTTCTCAATGAGCTAGGTCCTGAGGCAGAAAGTTCACAGATACTTTAAAAACATTAAGATTGTGTCAAACCGAATGGTATTTGATGACAATGGTCGCCTCATATCTTTTAAAGGTACCCTCAGTGCTTGTTGACTTAAATGATACTTCTATGGATGATATATTTGATGAGATAGTCTGCTGTTCAAGAAATGTTCTTGATACTTCTATTGGTTTGCTCTTCTAAGATATTTCTGTTGGTGTTACTCTTCCAAGGAGTGACACAAGAACTTGTCTTATAATTTGCAACACCATCTTATGGCTTGAAAGAGGAGTATCTTGCACTAGTAGCCACAATTATGCAAAACAATTTACATATATCATCCAGAATAGGTAATTCTTTGCAAAAAAGCTGGAGAGATCCATCACACTGAATCATGTTTGGATGGATACTTATGTTTTAGACTCTTATTTTAATGTTCTTATCCAAATAAGATATTGTAGGAATTCAAAAAATATATCTTTTGTTGCTGTGCATTTTTGCTTTCTGTTGACTTTTGCTTTAACACCAATATGTGTACAGGGAAGACAATCCACAGTATGAATAAAAATGAGCATGCTCTTGATATGGCTGCTCCTCTTCATGATCATTTAGGGGATGCTAATGGGCCGATGAATGACAATGCTTCTGTGAAGCAGAGAACCAATGTCCTGCTTCTTGGTGATCATATTGGAGATTTGGGAATGTCTGATGGTTTAACTTATGAGACTCGAATATCTGTTGGGTTTCAGTGAGTATATTAGATTTACTTGCTGTCAGATGATATCGATTCTTGACTTATATATATCTGTGGTTAATTGATAATATATTTTCCAAAAACATGGTTGCCTTCTCTCTATATGGAACAGCATCCGAAAACAAGCTGAAGGCGGCATCTATTGAGAATAAGTTCAGAGAAGGTTGTTTAAGATGATTTTGACATGCTAAAGATGTCCTAGTTCCAAAACAGTGAGTTGCTCCAAATGGGAAGATATCAAAACAGGGAAATGGTTGACCTAAAATAACATGGATTGAAATGCTAAAGAATTTACTGCACCAGCAAATATCAGAAATTTCAGTTCTAATAGGACTTTAAGATAAGCACATCTCAAAAACATAGTTACTAAAATTGGAGCGAACTGATATCAACCGTATAGCGAAGTGGGAATATTCGATGTGGGATCCAAGTCTTATACTTAACAAATAACACATAATAATCCACCACAACTTTGCAGACAGACTTCAGCAACCATGCGGGCCTGCTCTGCATTAACTGCAATTTTTGGGGTCACCATCTATGCTGCACAATTGCAACTAGGTATGGTGGTGGAGGGCTCTGATAGACTGATACCATTAACATGAGTTTAGAAGAACAACATGTTTAAAACTAACTATTACGATCGGAGAGTCTAAACTTCTATAAACCCCACAATAGAGTTGCGTGCATTTGATATGGGATTCAAGTCCTAATATAATTAAATGGGGTCAAGCAACGAAATGATTCATATGGAGTCACAGCTTGCTGAGAATTAAGGCCGCACAGAGTCAAGTGAGAAATATTTGTCTCCACATGTTTTTCTATCAACTTCATTGTATTTAAGCTGTATTTTCTGTGAGGTTTTTAACTTCTCCTGGTTATGACTCATCTTCAATGGCCTTCATACACAGCTTTTTCATCTGAACTAGTCAGAAACAGATAGATAAGCTATCAACTTTCATCTGCTTGTCTTTGTTAGATTTCAGTCTGCGTCTACGAGCCAACTAATCCCAATTTAGATTTGTACCCTTATGATTACAGAAACAGTTTGCGAGGTGATTCCATTTACTTCATTCAGCAATAAATTTGAAGCTTTCGTTTTCCTAACTACTTTCATTTAGCTACATGATTATTTCCCTGCATCCCACAGTTCAAGAATGAGTCTTCCAGAACTAGCTACTTTATATACTTTATTTCATGTTTTCAATCCCATAAATTAATACACTGTTTTGGAAGCCCTTTTTCTTTTGTCCTGAACTTACAGTCTTCTGATGGCAGTTTGATTTTGTTCTCATGATTTTTTCTGTTTTGAACTTACATTTGTCTGGTTATCTGACTCGCAAACTATCAATTGCCAACATTCTTCCATTTCAAATTTTAGCTTGAAAGTTTTGCTTGCATCCAGATTTAAGTTTGGTCTGAATGGAGTTAATAGAATTTTTCTGTTCTGTGCTCTCTGCCTATGTTGCTTCCTACATTCTGATTGTCACGGCTGTTTGTTTGCTTTCAGTTTCTGGTTTTGGTTGTGATTATCTTCTAGATATATGATAACTTAGTTGACATGCACTATCTTATAAACTGCTCTTTTTTGTTAGGAATGACAACATTGAGAAAAATCTTGATCGTTATCGCGATGCCTTTGATATTGTTTATCTGGTGAGATGCTTTTGTATTCATTCTCCCCGTTTTTTGGTTATTGTTGTTTTCTTTTGAGTGTCGAGAGGGGTGAGTGGAGGCTGTGGAAGTAATCATGTTGATGTAGAAACTCATTAATTGAACTGCGACTCAAAAAATTGCATTTTGGATTTTTTTAACAACAAATAGTTCTTTTTCTTTTTGTCTTAGTTAATAGCCTTGGACCTCCCTCTAATTGGTTTTAGAAACACAGTTGAATCTGAATTCCAGTTAGCTTATCCTTTTCTACCTTGGTTGATTTCGGGTTAAGACATGCATTATATGACAAATCTGCCTAGCAATATGGTAATTGTGTTTGGGGATAGAGTGAGCCAAGGATAAGAAAGAAGAGAAACCCTTCTGGTAAATGCTCTATGTGTAACTTCCAACATTCATGCTGTTGTTGCAGAATGATGCTCCAATATGGGGAGTGGTTGACCTTGTCTCTCGGTTGTTCCCAACAGAAGCCAAGTTATGACCTTATTTTCGACTTGCTACTTTGTTTAGGAAGTCGGTGGTGACTGATGGCAACTGCAGAATGTCACATACCTACACATGAAAAGAGATTCTTCTAAAAGAGTAATGATCGGATGAATTTTCCAAGTCTTAGGCTGCAGCCACACCTATTCATCCAAGTCTTTTAGGCCATAGCCACCTGAAGCAAATGCCTTGGCAATATTTTGAATGAAATTGCTGGATATTGGAGTTATTGATCTACTTAGGAGTTTGATATCTGTAGATCAATCAGGTGAAATCACAACATACATCTTATTACTATTGATTTTGTGCAAAAAGAAGGTAGAAACACTAGACCTACTCTAAATTCTTTTAATTTTCTTGGTGATTAGGGGGCTGGTTTTGAAGATTTCGTTTTTGATGGTTGTACTGATGTTCGGAGGAGGGATGTGATTAAATTCCAAGAAAATATTCTTGTACTATTTGTTGTGAAAGAAGTAAACATTTGCCTTTCTAAGGCTACCTTTGGACAAAATAAATAGTTTTTGCGAAATTATTTAAAAGTTTACACTTAGCTTAAAAGATAATGAAAATTAATTTTATAATAAATTTTATATGAAATAAAAATAATGCACTTCAAATTTTTGTATCATTATATTAAGTTTAAATTTTTATTAAGTTTCACACAGGTAATGTTTATTTGGTCCAGCTTAGATTTTGAGCATCAACTGAAGTTCTTTCTTCTTTCTTAATCAAGTGTCTTAGCCACAGTGCTGCCAGTCACTGTAGTCTGTAGGCCATAGTCTTGTCTGTCCTTCAAAATTGCATCAAATCTGGTTCAGACTAAGGGTCTAACCTCAATAATAAATTGCAATGTCTTTAATTGAAAAGACAATTTGAGGTTTATGATTCCACTTGCTGCCTTACAAATGGAATGAAACCACCCCTGTACAAAAATAAATTCTTTTATTTTTAAACCCTCTTAATAAAAGTGCATCACCATGCAGCATTATTGCGTGACAAAGAAGAGTTGAATGATCACAAATATGGAAGAATATACAATTCCATGTGGGTCACTTTATATGACAAAAACTTTATCTGCAAATCACCTTTCCGCTTCTTCTATTGCACAGTCGATAGCAGGCTGTAAGAACTGGGCATAATGGAACTCAATCTGGAGACGATGATGAAGCACGGATCCCTTCAAACCTTTCTTCATATCAGCCTGCAATTCCCTTATTGGGATTGCTGCTAGAAAGCTCTTGATGTACTCCTTGCATGACACCTTACCTCTGCACACAACAACTGAGTTCGCGCTTGTTTCCGACTTAAGGGCAAGATCTGGAGCTCCCTCGTTTACAATATTTTTTGATGCATCTGGCTTCTTATCATTGGAGTTCTCATTTGATGAGTTACTGTTGTTGTTAGGAATTTGTTCAATTACTGTGTCTTTGTCGAATTTCAAGACATAGCCTGATTACATCCCTCGTACAGTCTCTCCCCTAGTGTGTCAATAATGTAATACGCATCCTCTCTACCTTCAGATAAAAAATGATCATTCCAGCTGACATATAGACCACGGCTGGATATTACTTTCC